AATTGCTCCTCTTTGTGTAATATTGAGACATCCCCCATTCTATCCTCTGTCCTGTATCCCATCCATGTTCGCTTAGTGCTGATTTTGAAGTTTCTACCTTTGTAATATAGCTTTTATTTTATTCTACATTCAACCAGTCTTCATGTTTTAGACTTATTTTTGAAAAATCAACCACAAAGTCCACAGACTGTCCTCTACCATAGATGCGTGAAATTTCCGGACTCCTGTTTTACAAACCTTCAAGTATATTGATATGAACTAATTATCAAAGTTTTACTCGTATATGCTGAATATGCCTTTAAATTTTCATTTAGTAACACGCTGTATATTCTTGATTATAACTCACAGTCCCATTTCAGAATATTGCCATTTCACCCGACTGTGTAATGGCTCTGCTGTTAATCCAGATTTTGTCGCCTTCACGAAGGAAATCTTTTTTTAGCTTATTTAGCGTAGTAATAAATTCTTAAGAAATGGGGTGAATTAGGATAAATATTTGAGAATGCTAGACTTCCGTATTTGTCCTTTAAACGAATTTAGTCTCAGGGCAACGAAGCTATCCACATTATTTTTTGTGAAAGCGTACAACTGTTATTAAAACATAGTTGTGATAACAAAGCCTTTGTAGATGTGAACGTAGGCAGCTTTTAGTTATTTCTGAAAAAGCGTTGTTAGCAAGGCACATACAAACCGTACCGAGTGGAAAGTATTGCAAAAAAAACTTCTGGAATTAACAGTAATATTCATTATACAGAGTGTTTCACAACTATGGGATCAAACTTGTGGGGGTTATTCAGTGTAACAGTAGAAAACATTTTATGGACCGATGAAGCCTCTTTCACAAGGGACGGTATTTTTAATAGTAGGAGTATCCACGTTTGGGACAAAGAAAATCCCCATGCAATTTTTACTAGAAAACATCAGCAACGTTGGTCTGTCAACGTATGGGCAGGCATTGTAGATGATTATTTGATTGGGCCATACCTTCTATCGGAACGGACCTATTTACCAGCGTTTCTTGGAGGAAGTTCTTCCAGAAGAGGTGGAGCAGTTTCTTGGCCTCCTAGGTCTCCCGATTTAACGTCGCCAGATTTTTTCCTGTGGGGACATGTAAAGTCTTTGGTTTACGAAACACCAGTAGAAACAGAGCAAGACTTAATTGGACGAATTACAGCAGCATTTGAAATCATTCAAAACGAGTACCAAATTTTTAGTCCGCCGAAATCATGTGCGACCTTTAAATCGGTGGATTCAGGCTGGAGGAAGACATTTTGAACAATTGTTGTGATGATATCATGTACAAAAGGCAAAAATTAAATGCATTAAATCCAATTGATCGTCTTTCCAAATTTTAACGCGTCTTAGGGCCGTAGTGTCGTAGTGACACTTTTCCGGATATGGGTCCCTATACTCAAATGTTTTCTACTGTTACACTGAATAGCCCCTAGAAGTTTGACCTCCTAGTTCTGAAACACCCTATAGATTGGTGGAATTACAAATGTTTATACAGAGAGAGTTCTTAGGGTAGGCTCGGATATTACGCATGATATCTAAACAATTCAATTAAAATCTTTAGAACAGTATACTGCTTACTTGGAGGATATTTTTTGCTCTACATAGTGATAGCTACTCGATAAACCAAACATATTTTTTTTTTGATGGAAACATCTAGATTGCATTGCAATGTTTTGGATTGGCGCTTCCAAATGAACCATTTTGATGTAACTCACTGTAGGGTTTTATTTTCAAATTGTTAAGATATTCCACAATCGATCGAAAAAACTCTCACCTCCTCAAATATTATAGCTGGCATACTGATTTTTGCGACCAAAAAAACTTATGACCCTATATCTTCTCCCTATCTACATACTTGTTCAGTTGTATGGGCAGATTCTACACGGTGGTCAAAAACGCAAAATGCACTATTTCTCAGAAATTTCAAATAAAGCACCTTGTATATTTTCACATTATTTGACTCGCCTTTTCACAACCTGTTTTCTGTCATAAAGTTTATGAGGGTTTTTGAGCTACAGCTAACCTGTTTGATATCCAGGTCAATGAAAAATATTACAATACTCTTCAAAATAAAATTTAACATTTAGCTAGTAACATTATAAATCAAATCTACCCAGGCATGTTTTTCAGACAAATCGAATCTAATAAAAAAAGACTTGCAGAGTATCACTCCAGTGATCTAATGCTAAATTGATTGTTTATGTTATCACTCAAGATTATCTTGATCATATCACCAAGTCAGGAGGCAAATCGCGTTTTAATCGATTTAATAGCTCATTATTAGACGCGTATAATCGGAATAAGACAGCGCAAAATGCCATCTATCACCAGAACTCGCCACTGCGGGAGAACATAGCTGCTATCAGTTGGAACTGTTAAAGATCTCAGTTCACGTTTAATAGCCCAGTCACCACGGGACCGCTAGATGGCTGTCCGCATAAAATTCGTCGTTTCCCTTCATTTCAGAATTACTCAAATGGAAATACTTTTCGACATATGAAATAATACTATCTCGATATTGAATTCCAAAGACACCATACTCTTAGAAGAACAATAATTAAATACATCTTTTTGAGTTTGATGCCCATGTGTTTCCTTATTGAGAAAATGTGCTTTTGCCATGTAAGCCTTCTGTCTAAATGGATGATGATTAGATTGTGGAATTTATAAATTATTAATAGCTACTGGTGGACAGCTTTTCTGCATGAGGTGAATATCACATGCGCTTCATTAATCTTCATGTGCCACTTCTCAATTTGCAGCAAGTTTCCCTGGAGATTTTGCAACGCTATGTCTGGATTATCATCGGATGCCTGCAAATATTGCTATGCATACATCATTTGCAATTGGTAGATCTGCAGTATACAGAAGGTATAGAGTGGATTCTAAAATACTTCCGTTTCGGCTCATGAACCGCTAAGCTTAATGAAGGTGGATTCAGTACCATGTTTTTTGTAGATGTACCTATTTGTCGAGTACGGTTTCAGAAGCAGGTTCTGCGAAATTAGGAACTAAACCGTTGTTCAGAGACCGGCAACAAAGCAAGCACAGCAAAATGTGGCTTAAGAACTAGACAGTGACAATGTCAAATAATATAAGAGATTTTTTCGCGAGATCCCGTAGAGAACCGGAGCGGGAACAGATGGAATTTCCCCTTCCTCTCGAAGTTTTGACAGTTTCAAGTTACACCGGGAGTAGTTAGATGGCGCATGTTGCCCAAAATGTTTGCTTTGAGCTCCTTGATAAATTTAGCTGCCTTGTTTGAATCTGAAATAAAAAGACCGATCGTTTTTGTGCAATGTACATATATATATATATATATATATATATATATATATATCAATAAAATCAGTCATTCGATATAACAAGTGCGGTTCATATATCTTCGATAACCTTCTCCCTCGTCATTTAAAATCAGGTGGACGTGTTCCTCCAATTATGATTTAATAATTTCACTAAATTTTCAGCCCTGCGAAGACAATTTTCAATTGAGATGCCTATTTTTTAAATGACATTGACATAAGACCTGTCACCCGCTAGTACCTCACAGACGTTAGGCGGGTACCCGTACCACGACGTGATTTTTTGACATTCGGACGACGTCACATCCGCCTTCCCCTATTCCCGTTCTTCGCGAAAATTTGAGTATCGGTCCCCGGTAGTACACTGTACTCCACCGTGGACCCGCGAAAAAATCCTATAGAAATTCCCTCGGAGTGCCATAACTGCCTCTTTTTACCTCTATTGTACTTCCCACGCATACTAGCGATGAGGTATTGGAATCGCGAAACATGTCGAACATGAAATTTTATGTTTTTTGGATGTTATATGACATGTACATTACTGACTTTCGTCGATTTGTCTGTCTGTCTGTCCGCTAATCGTTGGCCCGTCTATAACTTGGGAGTAGTATATTTATTTTGTTACTTGCATACTAGGCGCCGTTTACCCTTAACGTAGGACTCATGTTGCTGTTAAACATCAGTTGGCAGAAATAAATGCTCAAATAATTACAAGAAGAAACTAAATATGGGGCATAACATTAATTTTCCCGCCAAGTTACATCATGTATTGCTCTTTTTTGCGAAATAATTGACAGTATAACTTACAGGGCGTTGCACTTGATAAAATACAAGATAATGCAAAAAGCTGAATCAGACCCAGGGATTTTGAGTTCCCAAAACACGCTTAGTTTTATTTTAATCATTAATTTTTTGAAACCAAGTTAAATCCCCCAATGATTTTTTGAATTTTGTGTCACATAAGCTGCTAAAAATAAGATATCCGAATAAACCAAAATGTTTCACCAATAAACCGAAAGAGGCCTAATCAATTTGCTAATTAATCAGCATTTATTAGTTTTTTTCTGAACATAGTCATATTTAGCTTAAAAAATGTTGTCTTTGATAAGGAAGTGAAACAAATCCAAAACCGAGCCTGCATTTTTCGATTGCCCGCCTAGTTTTGCATTACTCCTGGGCAACTATGTTATTGCGCAGAATTCCAACAAAACCTGAGATATGTGATACTGAAGACTTGGCGCATTGATATAAATATATCGGTAAAAATTGAATTTAAAAGTTTTTCATTTTCAGATATGAAACGGTGTCGGTCCATTGTACTGTGTCTGTTTAAGTACGGAACACCCTGTATCGCTTCCATGGGTAATGGGTTATTGGAATATTTTCCCATGAGAGTAACCAGCACTCCAGGATTGTGGTGTAAATCAGTTTGAAATTTGATTGTTTGGTTTAGCTTTCGGCTTACTAGTCAAATTTCGATTTATCAGAGCTAGTGAGCCGTATTCATAAAAGAGAAGCATATCCTCGGAATCATAAGGTAAAAGTATAAGGTCTTGCTTCGGAGAAAAAGGTAGAAGTATAAGCATATCCTTGTTTTCATACTCATAATGATTACCTCATACTCGCGAGGATATCCTCCAAGAAGAAGTGAAAGGTTCACTGGTATTTGTATCTTGAGCGACATGTCCTGACTTGTTCCAGCTTGTAGTTGACGTGGGAGTTCGTTCACTCAGCATCACTGACAGTTGTACTCCAGAGCTTACACAGACCGTTCCGTATTTTTACTGGATACAGTTTTTTATCAAATTAATAAGCATGTAATAAGCAATTATTTTCGACACATTTTCCAACTTTACGCGGCAAACATACTGTAGGATAGGAAACCGGCGTTACAGTTGGCCGAAGCAGCGTTCAATTATAACTCTTTCTTGTTTTAAAAGCTTATTATAATTTATTTCTGCACCTGGAGTAGGATTTCTGAAGGGAGTCATAAGGTACGGCTCAGTACCATAACCGTCATCGCCAAGTAGTACAACATTTGCTTCAATTATTAGTTGTGATCTAGTCTGTGAATTTCTCCATATTCTGTCATCATGCACTGATCCAGGCCAACTGACATCAACACTTGTGAATATTTCTCTGGCATCACAAGTGGCTTGTACATTTAAAGTAGGTTTCCTTTTTCGGTTGATATACTCATCTCCGTGGCGATTTGGTTTCAGGATTCCTATATGTGTACAATCGATTACACCAATTGCTGTCGAAAATTTATACATGCTTTGCCAAATCCACTTGGCCTCCATCAGTTCATGGTTGGTAGTTGGAACCTTGACCCATTCGTTCGACTGTGCAACTATACTCTTCACAACTCTATCCAGAGTCCAAGATACCGTTGCTTGACTAACACCAAGTTCCTGACCAATACCTTGTTGATATCCAAGGTCACCGAGATAGCGTAGACATATCTTCATTTTATGAATACATGAAAGTGCTCCTCCTCGAGTTTCCACATTCTCAACTAAAAATCTGTCCGCAAGCCATTGTACATTTGCTTCGTCGAACCGATATAATTTTTTGAAGTCACGACCAAGTGAAGGTAAACGAGGTTTGTACGTTTTAACATCTCTAACATCCACAATTTCCGCCATCATCGTTTGACCATCTTTCGTAAAGAAGTTGAGACTGCTATCGACCACAATTTTTGAAGGATATGCTTCTTATGCCAAGTATAAGGTGAAGATTATGAATATCCTTTTACTTATGTCACTACTTTGAAAGATATGCTTATACTCAAAAAGCAAAAGCATTTACTTCAAATTATTATAAATACCATCTGGAGGGTTTACTTCAAAATTTGCAAGTACAAAGATATCCTTTGTTTTATGAATACGGCTCAGTGTCAAGCTTATAACCATCATGTTATTCAGCTAATTCCACTGGTTTCATGCGAGGTTCTTCCCAAAGAAAACCCTTTTCTCGTTTTTTTTTCAGGAATTTCCGAATCTCTGGTTGAAGCTCCCGTATAAATATTCTGTAGAATTTATGAATGTGTATGTTATGTGAATGCGAAAGCGTGTATGATTGTCGCCGCCACTGTTCACAGTTATCTTGAGTCATCCAGAACGTAGAAAGAGGCCTTGTCCTTGACACCGTGGTCAACGACCCTCAGATTACCTTGCGTTTCAGCTCATCTCCAACCTAACTGAATACCGATGGGCACTAGCAGATTTTTCCACCTATCGAATACTTACTCGGCTAAGAATCATGATACATTTTCAGTGGTCTTATCCATTGTTCTTACTTCACACGCCAAAAAGCTTTTGGAATCACGAAAGAATAAGCCGTACATCAATGGGTCAGTTGAATGAAAAAGTAAATGCTTTTACCAGTGAAGTGTCATGTAAATACTCGAATAATCGGGAGTAACTGCTCAATCGTAAAGTACTTAAAGAAGAAGTGAACTCTTAAATTAGAATGAATAAAAATGGCACTAAGTATGTTGATTCTGCACTTCCCGCGCCACGCTGCCATCAGTTCATAAAGGATTATGTTCGACACAAGTTAGGAAAAAGTTTGCTACGAATATTTGTAACAAAACATTAAATGGATCAAGTCAGTCAAAGCGGTACATACATTACCCATTTGACAACTACGAAACACAAACACACATAGGTTGCAAGTGTAAACATCCAGAGACACGTGTGTTCAAAATATTTCTCTATCATTCTAAATTTCGGAGAACATCAGTTGTGTTTGTGAAGTTACAAGTGCTAAAAAGTTGCTACTTTGGACTATTTCAGTCACAGATTAACTATAACTGCTATAACATTGTGTAAACTAAATAAACTATTCTTAATTCAGAAGAAAGGTATCAGAATTATAACCGCATTACTGAGCCGCTTCCCAGTACTTTTGAATTGAGATTGTATACTATACACACGTTCCCAAACTGATAAAACGATAAAAACCTAACCTGTCTCCTGATGTTTTGCTTTAACTTTTCTTGTTTGTGATCACACTGCCAGAAAATCTTTATTCCTTTGTGTTGTCGATTCGAACTCTTACCGGTCCAGCTTGTATGGAGTTTGTCGCACAAAATTCTAATAATGAATCTGTGAAACACATTTTGCCTTTATTTTCAGAATCATTGTCAGACTATCCAATTAGTGCCTGATGATTGTTTCTGCATTTCAATGTAAAGTCTCTGTGTAAATGAGTCGAATTCATATTTTACTGTAGACATTCAAAATTGTCTACTTATAGATGAAGCCAACTACAAGCCGCTACGGAACATCTTAAATGTATGTTGTGACTCTGAGTCATACATTTACATTTTTTTACCATCCTCCATTGTCTGATATCGGTTTAATGTGAGTTTTATGCAAGAAAACAAAAACGGTGAAAACTCATAACCTAACAATCCTGACACATTGTCATATTCGTTATCCCCACTATTTTGGAGCCTATAGCACCAAATAAAAAGCTAGTGCATGAGGGGCAGGAGATTTTAAAAATGAAGAGCTCACATGCATAATACTCTAGAGCAGTGTACCGGTATTGCCAGATGTAGGACAGTACCAGATACTCCGAGTAACAAAAACTGGGAAGCGGCGCTGTATCACGACTCTTGTAGAGAGCACCTTAAAAGCCTTCAAATAGTGCCTGTATTAACATTGTTCATATAAGCAGCTTTAATAGATATACACAAAAATACGAGGGATGTCTTTTAAGTTTTGCATATAGAAACATAGTAGGCCGCGCGGACCGAACGTCAGTACTGAATCTTAACCTCACTCTTTAGTAAACTCAAATTCAAAGTTTCACAGCAATACGTGCAGTGTTCTCACTACAGTGAATTTTTAAGTGTCACCAAGTCATTAGAAAAATGGAACTCAACCGAGAACATTTTCGCGCCATAATTTATTACAACTTTCAGAGACAATTATCGCAACAAGAATGCCTTGCTGAGTTACTGTCTGTTTTCGGCAACGAAGCGCCACATCAGTCGACAATTTCCCGTTGGTATGGAGAATTCAAACGTGGACGGGTGAGTCTTAGCGACGATCCCAGGGTGGGCGCACCAAAAACGGCAGTCACCCAGGAAAACGTCGATGCTGTGCGCAAACTCATCATTGAAGATAGACATGTGACATATCGCGAGATTGAGGCGTCCTTAAAGATCTCAAAGACCTCAATTCAAAAAATTTTACATGAACAATTAGGAGTAATAAAATTAGTTTCTCGTTGGATACCCCACCTGTTGACTGAATAGCAGAAAGCATCCAGGGTTAATTGGTGTCAAAAAACGCTTGACCGTTTCAATTCCGGAAACTCAAAAAATGTGTACAGTATTGTTAGTGGTGATGAATCGTGGATTTACTGTTATGAACCAGAAAATAAACGACAGTCGACTGTTTAGGTGTTCCAAGGTGAAGAAAATCCAACAAAAGTCATCCGTTCTCGAAATGTTTCGAAAAAGATGGTTGCGACATTTGTGTCAAAAGCGGGCCAAATTGCAACATATCCTCTTAATGAGCAAAGAACTGTTACTGCGGATTGGTATACCACCATTTGTTTGCCAAAAGTCATCACCGAGCTTCGAAAAATCAACCCCGAAAGAAGAATCATCCTCCACCAAGACAATGAAAGCTCGCACACAGCCCAAAAAACAAGGCAGTATTTAACGGAAGAAAACGTGGAATTATTGGACCATCCTCCATATAGTCCCGATCTAAGTTCTAACGATTTCTTTACTTTCCCGAAAATTAAAAACAGACTGCGTGGTCAAAGGTTCCAGTCACCAGAAGAAGCAGTTGACGCATTCAAAAATGCCGTTTTGGATCTGCCAGCAAACGAGTGGAATAAGTGCTTCGAAAATTGGTTCTAGCGCATGCAGATACACATCATTAATCTTCGGGGAGAATACTTCGAAAAACAATAAAGTCATTTAAAACGACCTACCGTGTTGTTTTATTTCCATATGCAAAACTTAAAAGACATCCCTCGTATATACAGCTACTTTATAAATTCCAACCTCCACAGTTATCAGATTGGGTCATTTGGTGGCTTAAGGGGACCCAAATTCTCACTATCGACATCAAACCAGAATTTCGTACGTTTAGATCTGTGTATCCGTCAATTTGACATGGTTCAGTTTGAACATATCTTAAAAGTATATGACTAAACCTTGTGGCCATTTCAGATTTTGATTCAAAATTTCAGAAAGAGGCGTATGCATACTGTCGTTTTTTATTACTGTGTTATTGTCTGTACCCCTCTAAGTTTTTTCTGTGATGTTTTACGTAAACGCCACTTTTATGAATTTGTTCTCATGAAATTTCTATCTTATACCTGTATACAGGGTTATCCAAATTAAGTGTCCACCATTAGTAACTTTGTTATTAGTGAAAATACAAAGTTGTTTGAATTAGCAAACTAGTAGCATTTTTAACGCTGGTAAAAATGAGAAATAAAAAAAAAACAATTGAGAGTCGTTATTTTGATTTTTTTCAGTAAAATAACATTTTTTTAAATGGAAACCCCTGTATATTATATTTTTTTCTGTTAAAGCATCAAATTTTAAACAAAAAAGCTTACAATAACTTTTCTCCTAGGTTACAAATTGTTGAAGTTATGGCCTCCAATCTGAAACAATTAAATTGTATCGACAAACTTTATTTTCAACATCAACTTATAATCTTACAAAATACAATAACAATTTTTTTTAAAGAAGATGCTCGAAAACACCACCTTGGTCTTCAATACATTTTTGGGGACGTTTTTCAACTGCTCGAACTGTCTTAAGTATGGTCCTACCATCTATCTGGGTTATCTTTTCCCTAACTGCAGTCTTTAACGCGTCAAGGTTATCGTACCTTCGCTTGTAAATTTGGTTCTTTAAGTAACCCCACAAGAAGTAATCAAGTGGGTTTAGATCTGGTGATCTGGGAGGCCACTGTATTGGGCCATTTGTTCCTATCCACTGATCATTAAAAGTAGTACTTAGAAAATGATAAGTACCTCTGGAGTTGTGGGCAGGTGCGCCATCTTGCTGAAAATGCAGATGATGTCTATTTATAAGATCCAATTCGTCTAAGAAATTAGTCAGAATTTCTGACATAAATTCCACATATCTTTCACCAGTTAGGGTTCCCTCATAAAAGAACGGGCCAACAATTTTTGAACCAATTATACCGCACCAAACGTTGAAACTGAAACGGACTTGTGGGCCTCTTGGATGTACTAACAAAAGATTTTCTCTTGACCAATAATGGTGGTTTTTTCTATTAAACATTCCAGAATTTGAAAAATTTGATTCATCTGTCCATAAAAGGTAACGAAAGTTATTTACATTTTGGCGACAGAAGCTAAGATACCAATGGCAAAAAACAAGGCTTCTCTCTGGATCCCCTGCCAAAAGCGTTTGAACTGGTCGGTACTTATACGGAATAAATTTGTATTTTTTTAAAATCCTTTGAACAGTACCATAACTGAAATTAGAGTCCTTGAGAATATCTGCTATTGAATTCTCACGATAAGCTTCAAAATATCCAATAACTGCAATTTCCGTGGCCTCGCTTATTATGAATTCTTTTTTTGCCCTTGTTTTAGCAAAAACATTTTCGTTGCCCCTAAATTTTCGATAAAGTCTCAGAAAATATTGTTCATACGGTTGAATGCGAGCGGGATATAATTCACTATAGTATTCTCTTGCTCTCAAGGAGGATTTTCTGCACACTAAATAGCATTCTAACATATCACACTTTTCTTCATGGGAGAACATTTTTCTTTAAATTAATGACACAATAAAGCTTATAAACAAGTATTTACACTAATGTTTGACATTATTTGATTTTATCATTGTTTTCCAAAGCCTTCTAGTTGCGAGTATGTCCAGTTTAACAATTTGTCGCTTATCTTAATGCTGTCAAATCGCGAACGCCATGTTGTTTTCATAGCCATCTTAATATTATAATACTGCAAATAATTAAAAATATTTATCGTTATTTTGACTTTATTTTTGACTTTAGCGGAAAAGTCATTATGAACTTTTTTGTTTAAAATTTGATGCTTTAACAGAAAAAAATATAATATACAGGGGTTTCCGTTTAAAAAAATGTTATTTTACTGAAAAAAATCAAAATAACGACTCTCAATTGTTTTTTTTTATTTCTCATTTTTACCAGCGTTAAAAATGCTACTAGTTTGCTAATTCAAACAACTTTGTATTTTCACTAATAACAAAGTTACTAATGGTGGACACTTAATTTGGATAACCCTGTATAGACAGATGGAATATACACACATGTCTATCAATCTATCCATTTATAAATACAGATGTGTCTAATAAGGCTAGAAGCATATAAATATAATATCACCTGCAATCTCTAATCCTTACACATTTTTTTCTGAAAATTATCAGTTGCCTCTGAATCGTCAAAAACGAGGTTTGTGTGATTTTTACTTTTTTGTTTTTGCACCTAGTTCAGCCGCTACTGAATCCATTTTCATCCCGCTTCTTATGTCCATTATTGTCTGTCAGAGCGGTCCGTAGGACCTTTGCTCTTTTTTTATACTGAAGCAGCCACGCAGGCAGAAGCCTAAACGCTACGACACCGCGGCTGCGATGAAGATCCCAAAGGAATCCAATGGGTGAACTGCCTAACGTTAGTAGAACTAGGAAAAGCTTCCTCTTGTAGATTATTCCACAATCATAACACCTTCGGGACAAAGGAGTGATCGTATCGACCAGTTCTGTATGTATGAAGTTCGACACGGTTAGGATGGGACGCCAGGCGGCATGATGGAGAAAAGCTCTGAGGATCAAGGCCAGTTGGTGTAGCGGTAGGAGACAGCTAGATCGCCGACGGTCCGCCGGTGAGAAAGGGTTCCGGGACTGATTGTTAGAAAAGAGTCACCAATCAGTCTGGACGGCATCGAGCATAAATAGTGTAGTCGAGGCGGCAGCACCCCAAACGTTTGAGCAACACTCGAGGTTAGGTCTTATCTGGGCCTTGTATAGAGTGAAGAGGTCACGCGGAGAAAATTACTTCTTAGCCCTAAACGAATAGCCTAGCTTGCTGTGCAAGATTATTGCGTCCCCAAGCAGTGATAACCTCCAGGTCTCTCGTCAGGGAGAAAGTCGCCGCTAGGAAGGAGATCATTGATATGTAGGAGGAACAGTGTCGGAGTCAAGAACAATCCCTGGGGAACACCCGCGTTGACGTTGTGGGATGGAGAAGAGAACCTATCGATTATGACAGATATCTTGCGGCCAGAGAGAGAGTACAAAGCTTCTATGGGAGACCATAAGATGGAGGTTGGCATAAAAGGGCAGCATGCCACAGCTGATTGAACGCTTTCGTCATATCAAGAGCAGCAATATGAGCCTCAATGTAAGACTGGACTTCACAATTGCTAGACATACTACATAAAGGATGACCCGTTTGTGTGACCACAATTCAGTATTTTCGAGACACTGTCAAAATTTATTTCAAAATCAACAGAAATTCAATTAAAATTTTCACACATAGTTGATAAAAAAAAATAATGGTATTCGTGATTTCCCATCGCTAGTAGTGACAGTACCAGCTCACACGCCTACGCATTGCACTCACCGTCTACACCCAATGCCCACATGGCCAGGTGGTCTTCTTGTGGGTACCCGACTGCTTTGGTGATGTTGCTGTTGCTGGCTGCTCTTTGGTACAGGAAATAAAGGCCTTGTCATCTCCAAAAATAAATTAAGCTTAAGCTGGGCCTGAACCAGGAAACGCTACATGCATTTGGGGAGCCGTTATAGGCACAGCACGTTTTCTTGGGACCCTATACATAGAGGAAAGAGCCCTAAGCTGCACCCCTGGCTCACTAACTCTGCATTCTCTGAAAATCCGTCATTGCCAAGCAAGAGTGGCAGCTAAGGTATTTCTTGTCCTTTCTTTTTCCTTTTCTTTTCTTTCCTTTCCTTTTCTTTCCTTTCCTTTTCTTTCCTGTTGTTTTCTTCTACTTCTTTTTCTTTTCTTTTTTTCTTTTCTTGTCCTTTCTTTCCTTTTCTTTCCTTTTCTCTTCTCTTCTTTTCTTCTCTTTTCTTTTCTTTTTTGTTCTTTTCGTTTCTTTTCCTTCCTTTTCCTGCCTTTTCTTTTCGTTTCTTTTATTTTCCGTCCTTTTCTTTTTCTTTAATTTCTTTTCTGCATGTTCTTTTGGTGCATATTTTGAACTAGTTCTGTACTCAATTTTGTACTACACCTAAAGTAAAGTAAATTTTGTATCATGTAGATAACTAAATTAACTATTTAACCGCAACCTGCGCATGAGGGAACCACATCCTGGCCAGGGTGAAAGTGAATTTGAGGTCAATTTTATGAATTTTAGTTAATAAAGTTAGTGACCAGGTTTCAGGCTATTCAGGACGTTTAAGGTCATTTCAAGGTCATGTTGAAAAAATACCGGAAAACTAAATCTACTAGTCCTGTACGTAATTTCTTAGGATGACGGGGTCCGAACCTGAGGTCATTTTGTCCGTATGAGGTCACTTGAAGAGCATTTCGAGGTCACTTCGAAAAGATCTGTTAAACTTGATTTCTCGGCCTTCTATCTTGGGATGACCTCCAAATGACCTAATACAAACAGGCCGCCCTCAGAGTCTGACCCAGCGACCTCAAAAGCATACGTATAGATCTAGTAGATTTGATTTTCCGGCATCTTTTTCAATTTGTCTAAAAATGACCTTCATACGCCTTCCAACTCACCAGATATGGACAAACTGACCTCAGATTCGGATTCAGCGACCTCAAAAACCTATAAGCATGCGAATCAAGTGCCAGTCACCTGGTTATTCACTTCGTGAACTTCGAAATTTCACCTTGAACTGACCTTCACCCTGGCCAC